AAATAAATAAGTAAATAAGTAAGTAAGTAAATAAGTAAGTAAATAAGTAAGTAAGTAAGTAAATAAATGAGTAAATAAATAAAGAAATTAATTAATTAAAAAAACTCACTACTGTGAGGAGTAACTTTCCATGAAGGCTTAAACTGTTCATGGACGGAAAAAGAAATAAAGTTTAGCTGCATGAATCATACTCGTTGGCATGAGTTGGTTTCTGCAGAGGCATCTTGAAGGGTGTTGTAAAAATTCAACATGACTGGATTTACAGTCAGTTTCTTCTCACGAGGAACCTAATGAGATCTGAATTACAGACTCAGTGAAAAAWGCTCCATGTTGTAGCGAATGCACATCTTCTGACTTGTGTTTGTGCCACTTGTTCTCCATGTATCACGTTTCTTTTCTCGTTTCCTCAGAGAGCGCATGAATCTGCCTCTAATGGATGACCAGTGCAAGCAGATGCTGAAGATCTGCAACGAGTTCGTCAGACTGCAGGTCTCTTATGAGGAGTATCTGTGCATGAAGGTGCTCCTACTGCTCAGCACAGGTAAGAAAACATTTTTTTTTTGTTTTTAAAATCATGAAAAATATAAATGGTGGGTTGATTTCTCTTTATCTTTGGTACATGGCTTGAACCTCCTTATCAAGTCCACATGGACCCCGAGGCACTTTACACTTCAGGCTTTCACCCATTCACACACACATTCACACACTGATGATGGTAAGCTACATTGTAGCCACAGCTGTCCTGGGGCASACAGACAGAAGCGGGGCTGCCATGCACCGGCGCCACCGGACCCTCTGACCACCATCAGTAGGCAAAGTGGATGAAGTGTCTTGCCCAAGGACACAACGGTTACAGAACATAAAATCAAATTAATCTGATTTAATTTAAACTTTGTGACTTTCAGTTTGTTTCTTTGACTTTGAAATAAGACCAAAAAATACATATAAAAAACATATTTTGACTTTATTTGACTTTAAATCACCTCCATATGTTTACTTTTTCCACATAACAATAAAAGACAGAAAAAAGTTTGGGTTTTTTTTGGCTTCTACTAGAGCTGGGCGGTATGACCTAAATTTTATATCAAGGTATTTTCAACAATTACATGGGTTTCATGGTATTTGACGGTAKTTTTATTCCTCACAGCTCAGCTGATAATAAAATGTAGGCCTACAAACTTTGCTTATTGACTTTTTTCTTTTACTGTACCTCTGTATCACTGTTTCCCTCCTCCTTGTACATCTTTTCTTCTTTGCCTGGTTGCAGACAGTAATCATGCATTTAGGTCCGATCATGAGGGGTTGAGAAAAATCATTATCTGGTCTAGCGTTACGTGTTAATAAAACTTAAAAAGATGACTCACTTTGCACACCAGTCAACTTTGCTACACTACAAAACTACTTCCCCCCGGGCTTTTCACAATAGAAACACGCTAAAGTCATCATTATAACGTAGCGTGTTAAATCTAACTGTGCACGTCACTGAAGAGTTGTTTATTATTCAGCGATGATAAAAACGGGATGCTTTTTTTTACGTCAGATCATATAAGTGGCTGAAACACACCACCCGCCGCCTGTGGTTCCAACAATAATGTTAGCATGCTAATGCGCTTAGCGATGCTGCGAGGAAACGTGTCCTCCGGGAAACAGTTCACTGGCGGCCGCGACGAAACGTTCCACAGGTGTTCAGGCTATTCACACCGGTATTCAGAACAGTCATAAAACAAAAATAAAAACCGGTTTTCAGTACAAAACTGTATACCGCCCAGCACAAGCTTCTAAGCTGGCTAACTCTCATAAGACGTCTGTACCAAGTACGCACAATATTTTTAAGCGAAACCAGAAGCGATACAGACACAATCTGTCACTAATTATAGAGCCAACTCAAAAACCTTGACATTTTTGGTGGGACCAATAAAATAGTGAGAAGGGCCGGATCTGGCCCACAGGGCTTTAGTTTAACACATGTACTATAGATGCAGTATTTAGATTTTAATTCRAAAAATGAATTTCTTGTGACCTGGACACATTCATTTTTTAGTAATTAAAAATATTTTTAGTTGACACTATATTTCCTTTCTAAATCAGTTAAATACAACAAATAGTGTTTGTGGTCTTACTGTGTTTTTGTTGCAGCTTCTGGCAAAAATTTCTGTTTGAAAGTGCATTTTTCATTGGTGGTTGTTGTTTTAAAGCTCAATGTGTTTTTTTTTCCTCAAGAAAGCAGAATGATCAAAATAAAACCTCGTCAGCTTTGAGTATGTTTTTCAAATTCTGTCACAGGCTTTCTGCTCGTCCTAAACAATATTTGTGTAAAATTTTGTATAAAAACACTTAGTGCAGCTTTAATTATGTGTTCTTTATCCCTGGGCTGTCTTGAAAAATATATTTTATATTTGTATTTTCCAAGTGCTGTCTTGAAAATGGAAGTAGAGTCTGTTCACCTTTTATCTATCCACCCATCTTTTCTCACTCTTTCCTTTYCGTGTTTCAGGGAGCTTGTGTCCGTCTCGTTTTTGTACACAATAAGTTGAAAATAACCGACCAAAACTCAATTTCCTGTCAGTAACGGAAAGAACACACCAGGCCAAAGAGGAGTTCAATTAGAACCATTTTGTTTCTTCTTGCAGGATAAATTACTGTTCAGCTTATTTGATCATCTCAAATTGCTCAAATAAGAGCACATGAACAAACTCATCACAAGAAARTCTTCTTTTTTTTCTGGCTAAAATTGGATCCTGTAAGGATTCATTCATTTATTCCTAATTTACTCTGAATGGATTTGATTTGCTCTTCAAATTGTTCAAATTAAAGAAAGGCTTTCAATTATGCCTGGAAAAAAAATACAAAAAATGGTCAGCAACGCTTGTTTTTGTTGCTTTTTTGCCAAAAATAATGATAAAAACTAATATTTTAACTTTAATTGGGCCAACAGACATCAGTCAACACAAAAAGTTTACTTAATAAACTTTCTACCTTATTCTCCATGATGGGTAGRAAAAAAAAGGATGTATTTAGAGAGGATTTTGTTCATCATGCAGAGGAAATTACATTTCCATACTAAACACTGGTTGCATTTTTGTACCTGAGAGCTATTTCCGTCCGCTCCCGGTGGTGGTGGAAAAACAATCAGGTCAGGACCACCCGGGTTTGAGCTGGTTCGAACATTTCTCACCAACTTTTGACAAAACCGAAGCCACCTATGAGACATTTAGTGTTTATTTGTATATTTTTTAATGTATTAACCTTTATTTAACAAAGCAAATCTCAATGAAATCGCAGATCTCTTTTCAGTCCAACATGCAGGTTTCTGGACTGTGGAGAAAACCCACCCCCCACACAGAAAGACTCCAGGTCCAAACGGGATCAAACTGGTGGTCTTCTTGCCGTGAGGCCAGTGTGCTAACCACTAATCCACCATGCTGTCAATAGCTGGGTTTCAGTCATGTGGTTTTGAAGACATGCAATTTAAAATGGAGCGGGATAAGTACCATTAATTTATTAATTAATACCATTAAATTAATTGATTTATTGAAACAACAACTCTTATCAGTGTTGCTTATTAATCCTGTATTTTAACAGTACCCTCACTGATACGGAGCCCGCGATGGGACATGGGGGGATTTCTTTCTCTTTTGCATTACCATGCAAAACTTTTGCGTTACCTCGCAATATCTTTGCATTACCTCACAATACTTTTGCGTTACCTCGCAATATCTTTGCATTATCTCACAATACTTTTGCGTTACCTCGCAATATCTTTGCATTACCTCGCAAAACTTTTGCGTTATCTCGCAATATCTTTGCATTATCTCACAATACTTTTGCGTTTTGTCGCAATATCTTTGCATCACCTCACAATACTGTTGCGTTACATCGCAAAACTTTTGCGTTACCTTGCAAAACTTTGGCGTTACCTCGCAATATCTTTTCATTACCTCACAATACTTTTGCGTTACCTCACAATGTCTTTGCATAACCTCACAATACTGTTGCGTTACATCGCAAAACTTTTGCGTTACCTTGCAATATCTTTGCATTACCCACAATACTTTTGCGTTACCTCGCAAAACTTTTGCGTTACCTCGCAATATCTTTTCATTACCTCACATTACTTTTGCGTTACCTCGCAATATCTTTGCATCAYCTCACAATACTGTTGCGTTACCTTGCGAAACTTTTGCATTACCTCGCAATATCTTTGCATTACCTCACAATACTTTTGTGTTACCTCGCAATATCTTTGCATTACCCACAATACTTGTATGTTACCTTGCAAAACTTTTGCGTTACCTCGCAATATCTTTTCATTACCTCACAATACTTTTGCGTTACCTCACAATACTTTTGCGTTATGTCGCATTATCTTTGCATCACCTCACAATACTGTTGCGTTACCTCACAAAACTTTTGCATTACCTCGCAATATCTTTGCATTACCTCACAATACTTTTGTGTTACCTCGCAATATCTTTGCATTATCTCACAAAACTTTAGCGTTACCTTGCAATATCTTTTCATTACCTCACAATATTTTTGCATTACCTCGCRATATCTTTTCATTACCTCACAATACGTTTGCGTTATCTCGCAATATCTTTGCATCACCTCACAATACTGTTGCGTTACCTCGCAAAACTTTTGCATTACCTTGCAATATCTTTGCATTATCTCACAATAATTTTGCGTTACCTCGCAATTTCTTTGCATTACCCACAATACTTTTGTGTTAACTCACAAAACCTTTGCGATACCTCGCAATATCTTTTCATTACCTCACAATACTTTTGCGTTACCTCGCATTACTTTTGCGTTACCTCGCATTACTTTTGCGTTACCTCGCATTACTTTTGCGTTACCTCGCATTACTTTTGCGTTACCTTGCAAAACTTTTTGCGTTACCTTGCAAATGTTTACATTCCCTCGCAAAATTGTTTTGCGTTCCCACACAAACGTTTTTGTATATGAACTGAGTTAAATCAGACTTTTATTTTGAAATATCCAGTTACCAAAACAGGATGTGTCGCCACAAGTTCATGAAATTGACATTGATAAATATCAGCATATGACTTGCTTCCATGCGTGGATGTGTGATTTATCTATTCTGAAGCTGAATCAAAGCAGTAGGCTAACTTGCTTATGGTGAAGATGTGAATTTGTTAGTAAACCGGCAGGCACAACAGTAATAAAACACTTTTGCGAGGGAACGTAAAAGGGATTGCAAGGAAACACAATACTATTGCGTGGGAATGCAAAAGAGAAAAAAATCTCCTGTGTCCCCTCACGAGCTCAGTACATTGATGTTTTTCAATGGGAATAAAATACAAAACAAACAACTAATATGCAATGCTTTTATTTTACAACATTTAGAACACACAACAGATACTTTGAAAAGCCACTTAATTATTCATACATGAAATTTTAATTAGCATTGTATTAACTGCATGTTGGGGTTTTTACCATAATATTCAAAATGGTGGCAGAACTTTAAGCCTCTTATATTTTACAGTTCATGTTGTTGTTTTCTCATCTTATTAAAATTTCCTGCACTACTGTTTGATGAACTTTAGTTCCACGTGTGTAGTGTTAGCATACATACCTTGTGTAACGCTGGTTGTTGAGTCAAACGTGCTATTTTTCCATGTACGTGGTGTACTTTGGTGATGTGTTTTGATAGATTACGCTTGTTTCCACCCTCGCAAGCTTTTGTTACACTTTAGACAGCATGCACTTTCTACATTTCTTTTTTTTTGTTCTTTTTTTTTCTTTTTTTCCCCAAAAAAATAGAGCCACACTTTGGACTTTTTAGCTTGTCGCTCAGCCATTGATGGAATCTTGTTGGACCAAATCTAAACAACATAGTGTCTATGCTAGTTATGCCACTACTTCGTATTGGTAACTTAATTATCACTAAGTAAATGTGAATTTTACAACAACTTAATGATATATGAACAGCCACAAAAACAAGTTGGCTAGCTAACATACCTCTCACAAAGTGGTCGCTGCAGACACCAGCATTAGCAGATTGCTCCTCCCAACCACAATAGCCCAATAGCCCCTTTTCTCAGTTAAAACCACTGGAGCAGCCATAAATGACACAAAACACGGGCATTCATTTATTTTTAGACAGCAGATCTCCCACTACTTCACTTCCTGTCCTCCATCTGGATTTCACTCTCTTCATTATGACGTCACGTGAAACCAACTAATTATTGATCTTGTTCAATTCATAGTATCTTAAATCTTCAGGGTTTAAAATGGTTCACAAAAAGACCTCCGTTGAAGCATTTTTTATAATTGCTCAGATGCTGAAAAGGAGCAGGATTTAGTTGTAAGATATAAAACGATTCTGTGTGGAGAGCTAGAAGCAAACTGTTTGGAAAATAAATCTTGCAAACACAAAAAGTCCTGAGAGCACCGTGGCTCCTAGAAGTGATTATGTAAATATTACAGTGTCATGGCCTTTTGCATAATCTCTGTAACACAGTGGGCTCTGTGCCATRCAGCAGACTGACAAGAAGTTCACATATTTACATTTGCATTGACAAGAAACAAAAGATTTTTTTCTCAAGAAATAAGAGAGCTCTGGGTTGAATGTGTTTGTCTTTGTCTGCTGTGCTCCTGTTCTCTGTTAATATTTGATCATTAAAGCTTTTTATTTTCCCAGATTTCAGTCTTTCCAGCTCTGTCTGAAGCTCAACAGTTTGTCTCCTAGAGTTGAATTATGGTGTTTTGCACAACCAGAACTTTCAGACATATGGTTTAACTCAACAGCAGGTCTATAGTTTCCACCATTTTTACAGTTTTAAATGGAAAATGAGTCCACATTTCATGGCACCGAGGAAAGATGAACAAATTTAACCTGAGACTCTGATCCCTGCTCGCTTCTTTGTGTTGTTTCTTTCTTGACGACACTATCATCTTTTATTCCTCAACTAGCGCATCTCCAGCCAATTTCATTTAATGTGGAAAAACGACAAATCAACAACCAAATATAACCCCGTGTATTTCAGCTTCTTTCTACCCAGTCCTCCTTCTGACCTGTCGCCAATTAACATAATTAGGTGCAGAATGCTCCTGCAGCTGTTTCTTATTCATGCCACTTATTTTTTACAGCCTGTTGTTGCTCCTGTCTCAACGTTTTYAGTTGTTGCAATAAAATTTTAAAATGACTACTTATTCCAAAGGGTGGTACAGCTTCTTAGTTTAAACATTTGGTTTACTCTGTTTTTCTTTACATTTTACACAACCATCCAATTGGGGGTTTGAGAAGCAAAATGGTTTAACAATATCTTGTCTTAAAGGAGACCAATTATGGGTCCTAAAAAATTTTAAGGTATGTCTGTGTGCTATCCAGACCATGTTCATTCAATTTAATGCACAAAATAATTCTCAGATAATAAAATTTCCCATTTTCTAGTTCTGCCTGCTTTGACTTCTGTTCAGAAGAGCTGTTTATGTTAATGAGCTCTGTTGGTAACGCCCTCCAAAAATCTGTTGACATTAACTCCGCCCTCCAAAGCCAGCGTTTACGTTAGCATGGCTAATAATAGCAGAAGCTCCGTTGTACAACCATATGAGACCCACGCTGTGTCCAAAACAGCAGGCTGGGTCCTCCGAAGGTCGAATTCGTCGGCCGCATACGTCACAGCGCCGCGACGAAGGACGTCCAAAACGGAAGACTCCTCCGATGCGTCCGACAAATACGTCCTTCTTTTTCCCCGAATCGAAGGACAGGTCCGATGGATCCTTCCCGGCCCAGCATATCCCATAATGCATTGCGGCCCGACCGGAGATTTTTTTATGCTAGTAATGGCGGACGAAGCGAGAGAAAAGAATACATTTTAAATAAAAATATGGTGATTTAAAAATTTAAAAAAAAATTAGCGGTTGTAATTCTAATACTTTTATCATTTGTATGGACATGTTTTTAAATATTATTTTTTCGTCATAAAAAACGCGAAATAAACATGAACCTACAGCGGGGTCAATTAGTTCTTCAAATGATACCTTTAAGTTAATTTCATAGTTTTGTGATATTAATAATGCTAATGTATTGATAATTTTTCTAGTTTTGATTTAAGTTTGCTTGTCTAGCGTCGTCACAGTTGCTAGGTGACAAGACGTACGCTGGGGTAAGGAGAGGAGGCTAGACCGTCCAAATCCACAGCCTCTTTTTTTCCGGTCTTCCTGGTCTACCAAGGACCCGGCCCGCCGAGACCGGGGAGTCTGGGTCCTCCGGAGGACCCGGCCTGTCGTTTTGGACACAGCCCCAGAGGCAGAGTCGTGGTCCCAACTTCTTTTTTTTTCTCCCCCTCCTCTGCTCTGCRCTCACTCTGCATGCTGTTACCAGARCAGGGAGCAGCAGCGGTCAAAATACCTCAGAAACTCGAACAAATAGGCTTTAACAAGGCTTTAATAAGCTAAACAATAGTGGTACATGAGAAAACGTGTTCATAACTAACAAAAATAAACAAAATAATTAAATTGTGTCAGTGCCAGTTTCAAACCCTGGTCTCCCACTCTCTGGTCCAACACTCTACCCATTGCCCTATTGGAGGCTTGTTGTGAAATGAGCTGCGTATTATAAAACAACACGGTGGTGGCTTTTTATACTGAGGAGGTGGAGTCTCACCCGGGGGTTGCTAGATAAGGGGCTGAACGCAGGTTCTGGTGGGTTGTCGTACGKCTTGTGACATCACAAAATGACAGAAGTATAAAACTTGTCCTTAATATACATTAAAATTAAATTTACTTACASTAAATATGCCCCTGGGTGCATTTCTTTGGTCCTAGGACTGTTTTTTTTACATACCCAAAGTTGAGTAAAAAACCTTTAAAAAGTGAATTTTGCATAATAGGTCTCCTTTAAACATCAGGTTTTTGTTGTAACAACTGAAGTCTACTACTCTCATGCAGTTCTAGATATAAATTATCTAAGAATAAAACTAGCTAAACCTATTGCTTTACAAAGTAAGGGACTTGTTCATTGATAAAGCTCTGTATATGTTATATAATACATTAATTGTTCCACACTTGGTTTATTGTGTTGAGGTATGGGGAAAAGCATGTAAGACAATTACACATCCTGTTTTTATTTTGCAAAAAAAGGGCTATAAGAGTTATCACTCGAAAAAATTATCTTTATCCTTCTAATATATTATTTTGTAAACTGAAATTAATGAAATTCTATGTTTTGATAGATTATAATATTTTGTTAGTTATGTATAAAGCACACCGAAATGCATTACCTTTAAATGTTCAGATTAATTTTACAAAGAGAGAAAGCTGTTATAATCTTAAGGGAATAGAGATGTTCATGAAACCTAAATTTGGAACATGTTTGACAGAACGATGCACCTCAATTCAAACAGTGAGACTATGGAATAATTTAGAAAACAATGTTAAAAGTGCCACATCAATATGCATATTTAAGAAAATGATAAAGACTGGACTGTTAAAAAATATTTTTTAATATTAAGACATTCACTTTGTTGTTCTAGAAARTTTCAATGTTTTGTTTTGTTTTAACTGAAAATCCTCATAGTTTGAATCTATATTTGAGAAAAAAAAAGGGGCAGATATAAATTTTTTTCTTCTCTCGGCCACTTTTCATTCCATTTTATTTGTATTTTATTTTTTATTGTACATAGAATTTTGTTTTATGGAATTAAATGAATAAAGTTTATAACTAAGTTTATAACTAAACACTTGTTCAAATATTTTTGTATTTGTAGTACCAAAAGAGGGCCTGAAGAGCCAGGCGATTTTCGACGAGATCAGGATGACGTACATCAAGGAGCTGGGAAAAGCCATCGTGAAGAGAGAGGAGAACACGAGCCAGAACTGGCAGCGTTTCTACCAGCTAACTAAGCTACTGGACTCCATGCAGGAGGTCAGAGAACACACACACACACAGGTTACGTTCACACTGCAGGCAGCTGCAGTTTCACTGCTTTGACAATCAAGTCTTTACGGAACAACTCTTGCTGTCTCGTTTTCAGATGGTCGAGGGTCTCCTGCAAATCTGCTTCCACACCTTTGTGAATAAAACCCTGAGTGTGGAATTCCCAGAGATGCTGGCGGAGATCATCACCAACCAGATACCAAAATTCAAAGATGGGAGCGTCAAGCCTCTGCTTTTTCATCAGAAATGACTGCCTTAAACTGTGAATCAATGCCTTAAATCCAACCCTATACCTGGACCTCTGCAGACCCCCTCCATAAACACTTCCTTATTCCRCCAACCATCATCACTTTGGTCATTTTTTTAACCCCCTTCTTTGGGAGTTCTGCCTCACCCCTCCAGCACTGGGCCATTCATCTCCAAGCAAAATACTATTGGTCTCAAACCAGTTCCAGTTCATTGTGGGACACCAAACCACTGACCTGTAGCCCATCCTCCCAGCTAACCGAGAAGAATTTTGCCTCTGAATGTTTCTTGGGAAATCAACTTTTGTCACTCCCTCGACCATGGCTCAGACCTTAGACATATTTAAAGATTCTAAAGATGTCCCCCCTTTTTTTTGCCTCCGGAGTTTCGTGCAATGCAAACACTGTTTCCCCGATGCAACGCGACTCTTACACTTTGCAGCTCCTGACGATTATCAGCTCAAGCCTTGTGTCCATCCGCTCACCTGCACGGCTTCACCACGCAGCGAATGTAAAAAAAAGAAAATGAACGGAAAAAAAAGATGGTTTGGCATCCCGGGCTTTTCCACAATGCTCTTTGTGATGAAGAGGAGGAAGAAAAACACACAAAAAAAGTTGCAAGAAAGGAGGTTACTTTTCCTCTGGACTTGAGGACAGAAAAGATGAATTTACTCGTCCAGCTAAAGGAATATTKTTCATGTATGTACTGCAGATCCACACGCAGACGTCCCACTCTCATCAGACACACATTTGTTCAGCCACATGTTTACACAGGATGTATCTGAGGGAAAATTAGTGCCTTTTAGTTTTTAAGCTCTTCATAGCCATCCTCTTCAAACTCTTTCTGCATTTGAATCCAATGATATTATCTCTGTCTTTTTTTTCCATACTAGTGTTCTGTTTTGTTTTCAAACAGACCTTTAGGTGTTTTTATTGTTCTCTCTCCGTTCTGATTGACAGATGTTCCCGGAGCAAAGTCACCCTGTGGTGTGAATTAGAAAATTTAAGAACTGTTTGAAAACTTCGCATCATTTTCAAGTTTCGAAATGTTGAATTTGGTAAAAAAATAATAATAATAATTAATTAAATAATAAAAAAAATCTGACAAATATGGGGCGAAATGATCATATCTTTTACAGTGGAGTTTTGTTTCTCCTCAATTTGGAGAAACAGGTTGATTCTCACCTGATGAGCTAACGGCAAGGCTAAAACTAAATCAAATGAATAGCGGTTCACGCGAGACGTATTTCTAAAAAATTTACACCATTGTTAGTTTGACTTTTCAAGGCTATTTGCCATTATTGCCATTGATTTGTCGGAATTACCATGTGACAAAAAATTTACAGTGATGTAAAGCTTTGTAAAAAAAAACATTTAGTCTCTAATCCAAAAGACTGTTTAGGTTCTTTTAGGTTTCGTCTGTTCTCGAGACAAATTGACCTAATAAAAAATAAATAAAAACGAGGAGCTATTCAATTTTTTTTTATCTTCTTAAGATAGACTGTTGAGATGCATCAGGACATAAAAAAAATGTTCATATGGGAATATTTGAGATGATAGTTGTTATAAAATGACAGCAGTTTGGTTTTGGCTCCGCCTACCAATCAGGTTTAAATCAAACTTTTTCTCTTGACTTTTTTTTCCCAAAAGTTTTCTACAACTTGTAAGATATTTCTACAGAACCCCTCTGCAGAAGTTTCTAAGTTTTATAATTTGTAATTGCTAAGCTAAGTCAACTCCTCCGATTGAGTCGGGTTTTAAAACTGAAGTGGATTTTGAAAATTGCCTCCTAAGAGTTAAATATCCAGGGTGTCTACGTTCGACAACAGCCATAATCATTGAAACAAACCTTACTTGTACCTGTTCTTTCACTGCCAGCTGCTTATTGTTGAGMAAATTGTTTCACATAGTTAAATGTATGAATGTAGTTTTCAGGAGCTCCACTCAAAAAGCCAGATTTCCTGTTCCATCCTCACCGCACCTCGAACATAAACGTCCATTTTTTTTTTGTATGTGGGAACCCAGCAGGGGTATCGGAGTCATATGTACCATGTTTCTTATCCTTTTAATTGTCAAAATAGAACCAGCTCCATTTTACAGCGCACCTAACTTGAAGTATTGTTGGAAAAACGCTGCAGTTTTGTCCACGTAATTTGTGATTTTATAGCTCAGGCTAGAAGTGATGACATCACTTACCCCGTGTCCCACTGGTGCCAAAAATCCTTAAATAAAAATCTATTTTTCCTTCCTGGAGATACGTATATGAAAGAGTTTTGGTTTGTAACTTTGGCTTCAGGGTGCTCAATCATTAGTGTCACACCAGCTTAAAACCACCTGATTACAACTTAGTGTATAATTAAATTTATATATAAATATATATACATTTTTATCTGCTTTTTATATGATGATAGATGAGATGTAATTTCTAAAATTATATTTAAGAAAATGAGAAAAAGAAAAAAGAGATCTTGGTCAGCATTTGCTACGTTTATTTTGTGAAAAAGTGTTCATACCAGCTCATGTGACGGCCAAAGTCTAACAAAAAGCCAACCACCTCCTCCCTCATTGTGTCCTCAGAGTTGGGCTCCTCCACCTAAACTGTCAACCTTTTACACGTTTTTCACCCGTTTACTCCGTCGAAATTTCAGCAACCAGTTAACAAACAGGTAGCAGGTTTTCATGGAGACCAGTATCTTATAGACCTTCATACAAGCAGCTACTCACCTACGAGGCATCCCGTTTAGTTTTTTATTAATTAGCCAGTTTTGCTCAACTTAAACGAGGGTCGTTCGATGTACAGCTCCGACTTTTAGCTTTAGCCTCTTAATTCATCCTCGACGCCACTGACATCAGAGATTATTCTGAGGAAGGGTTTGTTTGTTTGTTTGTTTGTTTGTTTGTTTTCGGATGACTTGCATACAGTATTACATTTGTTTTCAGGTGGTGGTGCTTCTGAAAACCAGCTTTAACGTGCAGATGTGAACCACATCCCCTGCTCATTCTATCAACACCTATAGATGTATATAGTGATGCTGGCATATCCGGTGCAATGTAAAAAAAAAAAAAATGTTGTGTCTGTTATAACAAAATATTTTTTACATTTATCTCAGTACTCACACATTTTCTTCTACACGTTTCGACTAAAGGCCTTGCAAAAGGGAGACAGAGAGCCATAGATTTAAGATTTCAAATCAGGAAAAAAGACGAATATCAGTGTTTTTGGAGATTGATCTATTGTAAAGAAAAGATATTTTCTGTGATTTTAAATACATCATTGAACCTCTTTAATATGACTAATCATTTTTGTACATTAAATGAGTCGAGAATATTTTTTTCCTGTTTGTTGGTTTGTGTTTGATAAAGGTAGATGTGTTAAATACATTAGGAAGTGTTAAACATGTTTGTCTTGTGAAGTAAATGTTAATTCTACGAGTCTGTGGAAATTCTACATGAACGCTCTGTTTTTTTTTCTTCTTTTTTTACGAGATAAGAAAATTAGGGAGCAGGGTGAGTCAGTGTGACTGGAGGAGTTGTTTTTAATATTTACTTTTTTGCTTTTTTTTTTTTAAATATTTTGCGCTATACAAAAGTGACCAAAGCAGAAGAGAGAGAGGGAGAAAAAAAATGATGTTACATTTTGTGTAGCACCCACAGCTTACTTTTTAGCACTTCTGGTTTTATTTCAAACGTCTTTTGTAAAGGTCTTGGCTTTGGATCTCATTATTTTACCGTAGGGATTTTACTGGTCACTTAGAAAGAAAAAAAAAGAACATAACTAAAAAAAATTTAAAAAAATCTGAATTTCTGTGTGAAATTTTCCAGAGCCTGATAAAATTGCACTACCCTCACATTGGTTGTCACAGTCTATTTTGTATAAAAAGATAAAAATAAAAACACATGCAGTTATCTTTAGACTAAGGGCGGATCATGATTCACTGATATGCATAGCTAAGGCTTTCACTGAAGTCTGTTTTGTTCATATTTCAGTTCTGTAGATGTAATCCAATGTAAAAAGATATATATGAAAAAAAAATCAAACGAAAACAAAACAGTGGTTTATATTTTCCCTTCTGTATTCAGTGTCAATATTTCTCCCTATTTGATTAAATGTTGAATTAGGTTCTGTGTTGTTCTTTGACATTGGGTTTTGCATCGTGTCGGCTGATGTTCCTGTCATCGCTGGTTCAAGGCGGAAATGTGGAAGAACAGATTTCTCTTTAGTTCAAACATCTTACACAATAAAGTTTCCTGTTTTTCAACATTCAGCTACAGTGGATTTATTACTCAAGTTTAAAACTTTTTTTGTGTGAAAGATAAGATTGCCTCTGTCTCTGTGGCAAAAAGAGTATTTTATGACCTGCTTGCCTGTGTGAGTCACCTTAGTTCAGTGGGTCTTAAAGGGGACATATATACAAAATCTTTTTTTTTTTTGTTTCTACCGGTGCTGTGTAGATATCTTTATATTCTGTTTGGGTCATATTTTTCAGCCTCTTCCTTTTTCTCAATTTTCGATGACGTTTTCATAACTATTACGTCACAGAATTTGCAACGGAACTTCTAAATAAGGTCTGGGTTTGCCAACTACAAAAGACCTTGCACATTTTGGTCATAACACATGCCCATGCGGTTTTCTGGCATTCGCCAGAAAGGGGCTCATTCGCTATACGAGTCGAGTGTTTACATTCCTTCCAACAATAGCAATGGGRAAAAGTGACTTGTATATAATTGTTCAAGGAAACGTGATTGAGTAAAAGAAAAGGAGAAGTTGCTCCTTTTACCAAAACCCTCTAGGAAAGTCAAGCAAAGCTGCTACAAGAAAAAAGCTATGGCTCAATGTGCTTCACCGACTTCACTCCAACAGAAAACAGTAAAGTGTAAGTAAGTACTGTAAGTAAGTAAAGTTTTATTTATATAGCGCCTTTCACAGAAATAAATTCACATGGTGCTGTACATTCAGGGAAAGGGGGAGGGGGCAGTTAAGAAACACCCATTCAAGAAGACATACAAGGCAAACATGGGGGAACATGTGAAACCGGTCATGCAACAAACAGTTGCAATACCTTTAACAGAAAAACAAAAAACCACACAAGGGAAGATGAGAGGGGAAAATCATATAATATCAACAGTGTGACACACTATGGTGTTTATAAAAATAAACTCTGCACAGAGCACATTTATTAGCCAGAGGAGTAAGTGAGTTTGTAGGAGACACTTGTAGGAGAGCCAGATTCTGTAATCAGTTGTTTTGGGAACAGATGTGTCAGGCAGAYGATAACAATTTTCCATCTGCTTTAATGTCTGCTGGTGCATCACAAGGTGGCGAATCCAATCAGGCAAATGGTGTGGACAATTCCGCCGAGCCGATCTATCAGCTTTCTCCAAGATCAATTCCATCTGGCCAGAAAGTCCAAGGACCACAGCCGACCCGCGACCCTCAGCAGAACTGCTTGCAGACTGGGTCCAGCTTGCTCAAGGCACATGTCCGAGTGCTGATAGTACGGCCATCCATCAAATTGGTCAGTCAGCCAGGAAATGAATAGCCACCGACATTCTGTAGAAACACCCAGAGACCACCAAGCCAAACTGTAGAATCCAGTGATCAGAATCCAGATCCAGAACAGAGAAGAACAGAGGTCCCAGCTTTGACATGTCCTCCCATGGAAGAAGTAAAAACTTTGTTCCAAAAATTTATGAAGAGACAAGCTAACTAAATCCATAAAAATAAAAATATCCATAATTTCTGGTTTCGGATGAAAATGTAGAGAAGGCTCCAGCAGCAAAGCAGGGGAGATAAGGAAGGGCAGGAGAGAAGGGAAAAACCTCTTACTCCTCTGAGAGTGGAACAAAAAAAAAGTGTGTAGYCATAAATAATAAAAACCAAATCTGTTTAATGTTCAGCAAGTTTTGGTGTGAAAAGTATATGGCACTGACACAAACGTTTGATTCTGAGCCTTGAGTCAAAAGTCTGATGAAAACAAGACAAGAAGAACTAACTTACCCTCCTGGGCTTTCACAGAAGGCCTGAAGGATTTCACCACTTTCAATCAGAGCAACAAACACTCCATAGTTCTGTTGCTTCATGCTAGCATGTGACAACAGTGCCAGCAGAAACGCTATCGTCAGCGGTGCCACAAACGCCAACAATCTGAACGTGGACATCTTTCGAAAACGTGATAGCTCTCGCAGACTTTAACGTCCTTTTTTTTGGTGCTCGTCTTCTTTGACACAGCGTGGTGGCATTTCGCCATCCAATCAAAACCTTCATTTCATGTGTGAGTTGTAATGTGCAAAAGGAGTATTTGGTTTTCATCTGGCCCCGGATGGACATGTCTACCCTTGTTGACATCTTTTAATTAATTTTAAAAAACTCTTTTTGTGCCGCTATGTAGTCTTAAACCTCTATGAAACTAGAATGGGCCGCTCTGGAAGGTTTGGATGTAAAGAGACAGCATCAAAACGAGTTGATCTGAGACATACCTCAGAAAAGGGGTGAAAGAGGGGCTTGTGGAGTTACAATAAGGAGGAATTCATACTAAGACAATGCAATTCCACTCATATCGACCCCATCTGATTGATTTAAATGTGAAAATGAAGGATTTAAAAGCATCGTGTCTCCATTAACATCGGAAGTGGATYTTTAATGACTATTTCTACACATGCCATGGTTACTAATCCATATATAATCTGCTTTTGAGGCAGGGCTAAAGCAGAGCAGAGAGGCACCCAACTTGATATGATCAAAAGTTTGAAAACTGCCAAAAGGAGAAAGGAGCCTACAGCCTTAAAAAAATAGCAAGTTACATGTCATTAAATTAAATCCATATAATAAAGCATGTGACCATGTGGCTTTCCATAATTAAAGCAAGGAGAAAAAAGAAACCCCCAAGTTATTTCACTGCCATCTACACATGAAAACTATTTCCAACATCAGCATCATTTTCGACTGATCAGCTCAACCGAGGCAGTTATTAAACCARGAGACATTTCAGAAACCCAGCTCACCTTTTCTGAGTTGAACAGCTAGGATCTCTGTCTTCCATTATTAAACAGTTCTGTGAGTCTGAAAAAAAAAGTCTTACCATATTGATGACCAAGTTGAAATGACCTTTCAAGGTGACGCATGTGGACAGCCTCGGGAAATAACTGGCAACGATTATAGCAAATCATTTGAAGAGGTCAGACCATGAACCAAAGGCTGATATTGATTAAAACATCTCTTCCTCAGATGTTCTAGTCAATACCCCAATGTTCGCGTTCTTTACCTCTATTGATGGTTCTTGCTGAAAAAGTACTCTTTGTTGGTACTACAGWATTATATAACAGTTTATTAGGCATTGATTAGATGAGTGGCAACAAGAGCTCTGCTAAGCTTAATGCTGATAATGAGAATTATTTCCATTTGGATAGTTTCAACTAAACCTTGCAAACGTGTTTGTGAATAGCAGCAATATTGTGATTGCAMTATTTTATAATACAAAAATAATGATTAAAAAATGCACTTCAGTAGTCAGATGTTCCAAGATTTCTCTTTATTCAGCTCAATCCTTCACCAAAACGTCTGCAACAAGAATTAAGGCTGTGAACAGACAGGGAGTGATATAAAACTCTGGCAACAAATAAGAAATGAAGGAATTAAGTTAGTACGCTAAAAATACAAAATATAAAATCCATACTTGCGAAAAGAAATTTATACCTCATCAAACACTTTGAATATATTTACAAGATCATTAAAACACCTCAAAAAAGAAAAAAAAATACAGGATGAAGTCCAGGATTGTTTGCCCTTAAAAACAAAGTCTTATAAATAAGTTTTTATATGAACAAAGTAGTCTCGTTTCACATTTGGGTCCTACCAGATATATTTCTTTTCTTTTTAAACGTTGGTGTGCTTTAAAGTTTCCTGTCAATGAAGACAATTTAAGAGGAATTAAAACATTTGTCAAGTGAGTCAAAGAACAAAACCTCAGCTTTGACTCTGGAAATAATCCCTTCAGCCTTAGAGCAAACTTTTATACAAGAGTTAATCCTTGGTTTTGACCACATTTCTATTAAAACAATAAAAACATTCCATTTATTATTGTACGGCAGCCTTGGCTGTAAATCTAAATGTCTTCCCTCATAATTACACTGTTAGCATCGTCTGTAGTTCTATGGAGAAAAAAAAGATGATCGTTGAGTTTTTAGCTTTATCTGTGCTGTTGAGATTTTTTGTAGCAAAAAATCTGAATCTGCATTCTGGTTACAGCAGGGAGAAAAAGAAGCAGGTGATTTATAATCTAAAATATTTTATATATTTATATATATTTATGACTTCCTGGTTTGTTAGAATTCTGTGAACTGACTGTTAATAAGTGCAAACATGCCTCATCATTCCACAAACAGCCTCGCAGCTCTCAAACGTTACCTGCCGAGCCGCTCGAGGATCCCAACATTTTTACATTTTCCTCACGAGCGTCCTGCGAGCATCATAAACCGAGGGGGCTGACCCTTCGGCAAACCGGTGGAGGTGATCTCATCACCTGCGGCCCCCGAGGCTCCTGTCCCCGGGAATTACCCCGACCAGCGCTACACGTGCTCAAAAATGCATTTAAGGTTCGGTCAGCCACACCGAAGCCTTCGGGTCGGCCTTGACGGCTCAGATTTCCCAAGAGGATTAGCAATCGAACAACGAGGAGGCGGACTGACGTTTTTACAGCCGAAGGCCGTTTGCTGTTCATCATGTTCTCTGTCATCAAGGCTGCAATAAAATCTGTCTTTAGCCATCTAATGAAAAGAGGAAGTGCTGAAGCAGTGGCAGTCCAGATAAAAAAAGAAAGAAAAAAAGAGGAAACAGACAAATAAAATCCCAGGTTTTAGGCAAAGATCCCATCTCCATTAACAGATACTTTATACACACACACACACACACACACACACACACACACACACACACACACACACACACACACCTACAGNCACACACACACACACACACACACACACACACACACACACACACACATCCACAGAAATCCAAAAACAGCTCATTTTAAAAATCCCAGTGCAATTCAGGGGTTCCACTTCAGTCCACTATTTGTTCCTCCGTTCTGTCTGTTTGGTCCAGTTTCATCGTCACAAAGTCAGGGAAGTTTTTGTGCAGTTAAACCTGGCTGGGTCAAGTCCAGCTTGGTGGAACAGAGTTTTCCAGACGGGTTCTCCTCGTCTGGATTGGGCTACAGAAGCTCCACGTAGTTTTCTGGTATCAGTCCCGTTCGACCATCCAGAGTCCCTTCTAACCAACCAGGTTCCTTCGAAGCGTGAACTGCAGGAAAAGAATCCAACACAATGTTACAAATTCGTAAATCTTACTATAATAATAAAAAAAAGTGGGAAGAAATCACATTTCTAAATATTTTGAGAAGTCGTCGGTGGCAGCGAGAACAAAGGACGCGTTCCTGTAAGTGGGCTAAAAGCTTCTTAAAGTGCATTAATTCACAAAAGTACAAACAATAAAAGTCATAAAATTGCTGGAGGCTCTGCAAAAGAAAAGAAAAAAATGTGAGACCCGACAGGAATATTAGCAGTTATTCTGTTGGAAAGTCTCAGAGCTGACAAGAAGTAAATCAAAACAAGCTAAAAATAATACATTTTAAAAAGTTATAAACAACATAAAAGCTGGATGTACCGTAGTCTGGAAAAAATGTGACGCTGAAATGATTCTAAGATCCAGCAGCTGAGGTCTAAGATGTGAATATATCCTGAGTGAAGTAAAGATTATAACTTATTATGACCCCGGCACGCGAAGCAGGGGTCATATTTATTTATTTATTTATTTATTTATTTATTTATTTATTTATTTATTTATTTATTCATTCATTCAGTGATTTTTGGTCAACCGTAGCACAAAAACGGCTGCACCAATCATGAAATTTAACAGGACTGTAGATGAGTCTGACCTACACTGCTCCAGCCAACGGTTTTACGATACACCCCATATGTGAGGAGGGGGCTCCTTTCAAAGTGGGGGTGTCAGGACATGCAAAAATGCTTGTAACTCAGAAACTGTTCAACATAGAAGCTTCAGATTTCTTTTGTTTAGCTCTGATGAAGCTCTATCCAACAGGCCCACCAATCAGTGCCCTCCACCCCCCAGACCCCCAATTTATCTGAAAAAGGGGTATCTGTAACTAAAAACTGCTTTTAAATTGTTCCTCACCTACCCAATCCCATGATGCATTGTGGGTGAAAGCTGTCTGAAGCAGGAAATAAAGCTGTGACAAGATTTTCAAGTTTTTCTTTTCCCTTCATAAAAAATTAAGTTTTACAAAGTTTTTAGGCGAGAACGTATCCCTGTAGAACTCCATCCTTAATTTTCCAATATTGTGCTTAAATACTATTTTACTCAAAAGGTTTTTGGTGTGTCGCTACACTCTGCTCTGCTATGAGCTGACCGCGGGTGCTGCTGGAGAGAACACACACACACACACACACACACACACACACACACACACACACACACACACACACAC